TGCGACAATGGACTCAAGTATAGCAAGGATCATGGAGCTGGTGTGGGATCAGGCGGTGTTTCATTCTGCTGTGCATGTGGTCGCTATGAGTCGGTAGTGACTCAATGGCAGCTAACAACAACAACAATATATTAGTGATCCTACTCCCAAGTTCCTCCAGGCAATTCCAGATTACACTTGTCCTGATTTAACAAGTTGTACCCCTTTCTTTCTTGAAAGTGCCCCAATTTGGATGGATGAATGATATGTGTGTGTGTGTGTGTGCACGCGCGCGTGTGTATGTGACAGAGAAAGAGAGACAGAGAGAGAGTTACACCCCCAATCTCTGTATTCAGTCCCGGGCTTTTTTGAGCTTTAGACATAGAATATCAACCGTGCACTCAACCCAAGCTTGTTGTTGTTGTTATGTGCCATTGAGTCAGACCCGACTCATAGCGACCCCTCCTTGGGTTGCCAAGGCAGTATCACTACAGAAGTAAATTGCCCCATCTTCCTTCCAAGGAGTGGCTGGTGGGTTTGAACTGGCCGCCTTCTGGTTAGCAATCAAGTGCCTTAGACACTATGCTACCAGAGCTCCTCAACCCAAGCATAGGCATCTCAAACTTAATATTCCCTATATTGAAATTTTTTTCTTCCCATTTTTCCTAATCTGCTTTTCCCATATTCCACACGGCATGCACCTAGTGCTCCTTTGATTACTGCCTCTCCATCATTATCCACATTCAATCCTTCATCAAGACCTGTCTCCTTTACCTCTGAAATATATTACAAATCCAACTACTTCTTTTCATTTCTACTGTCATAATGTGATACAAGTCATCTCTTTTCAACATGCCAGCAACAGCTTCCTAACTGATCTTCTTGCTTCCACCCTGTAAAGACCAGCCAGAATGATCTTTTAAACATAAATCAATCAAGCTTGTTCCCATCTTGAAAGGCTTAGTGATTCTAAGAAAGAAATTCTAAATCCTCAGTTCTTGTTTTTAAGGCCCTGCATGATTTTGTCTCTGTTTACTGCCCTGAGCTTTACTTCCCATCTCTCACATCTCTCTCCTCCAAGTATTCTCCAAGTCCTTCTTTGAGTCTTCCAGAAAGCCATGTTCTTTCTTACCACAATTCCTTTGCACCTGCTGTTCCTTCTGTCTGGCAGAGACTGTTTGATACTCATCAAACTCCATATTTTCCTCAGCTCTCTGCGTGCACTGCTAGATTATATTTCCCACACTCTCTTGTGGTCACTGTGACCAGAAGATAGAATTCTAGTCAATGTAATGTGCAAAGACGTTGTGTACCAGTTTCAAGTCTAGCCCATAAAAGCATCCCTTGTGTGTTCCTCCATGATCTTTCCCCTTTCCCACTGGCAGGACTTTATATGACCCCCAGTTTAATTCTGGTGACATGTAGAAGATGGCAGAGCTTCTGTTAGTCTGAGGTGGAGAAAAACCACTCCATCTTTCTGTGTTCTAAGAAATACACTTCTATTGTACTTAAGCCATTATATATATATGGGGTCTTTAGTACACCACTTAGCACTATTTTAGCAAATACCTATGTCTGGAACATCAATCATCCTCCACAAGCACCACCACCACACACACACACACACACACACACACACACACATCTACAATTAGTCACTCTCCATCACTCACTCTTGCTCATATTTTAGGTCTGGACTTAATATATGCATTAATTAAAAAGCTATTCCTGACCCACCTCATCCAGTCTAAGTTAGTTGCCTGTCATTCTTACCCTCAGTACATTATTCTTTCCTGCCATTTCACTCATCACAATGCATAATTTTATATTAATTTGTGTATAGATTCATTTAAAGTCTGTGTCCACAAGTGGTCCATAAAATACATAAAGTGATCATCTTTTCTTTGACATAGAGAGACTGAATAATGCTTGGCTTACAGTAGGTACTTTGTTCCACCTGTGGTCTAAGAGGGTGCACAATTTGCTGCTCCTGGGAAGGCCATGTGAGTAGGGTTCTGAGAAGAGCTAGCAGTTTACCCATAAGCAGAATGTCATGTTGCACACCCAACACCCAGCACATGGTGACAGAAAGGGAACTGAAACCTCCTCTGATGGAAAATCTGGTCCCAGGATCTGATAGGCAGCAAGGGAAGGCCTCAAAACGAAACGGCCTTGGATACCTCCAGAGATGGCCACTGCTCACTGTTTCTGCAGGACATCGAACATGAGATAGATAAGGAGCAGGGGGATGGCAGTCATGCCTCCTTCTCCCCTGAGAAAGAGTTCACGAAGGCTCGCCCCAGGCTTAAGGTGAGTGCAGATTCGGAGGTGTCTCAAATACAACAAAGTACCTACTGTATGCCAAGCATTATTCAGTCTCTCTATGTCAAAGAAAAGATGATCACTTTATGTATTTTATGGACCACTTGTGGACACAGACTTTAAATGAATCTATACACAAATTAATATAAAATTATGCATTGTGATGACTGAAATGGCAGGAAAGAATAATGTACTGAGGGTAAGAATGACAGGCAACTAACTTAGACTGGATGAGGTGGGTCAGGAATAGATTTTTAATTAATGCATATATTAAGTCCAGACCTAAAATATGAGCAAAAGTGAGTGATGGAGAGTGACTAATTGTAGATGTGTGTGTGTGTGTGTGTGTGGTGGTGGTGCTTGTGGAGGATGATTGATGTTCCAGACATAGGTATTTGCTAAAATAGTGCTAAGATACAGTAGGTACTTACTAACGTTAAAATGTAAAGGGTGGAGAAATGAGGAGCCACTACCAAGGGAATTTTTTTTCATCATGAGATCTCAACTTTAGACTAAAAATCATACAGAATTAAAATATACAACACAGATTTTTTTAAACCTTTATTCATTTGGAATGCAATTCTGGGCCAATCATCACCCAAGAGAAAACACTAAACCTTGAAGTAGTGTAGCTGAATAATATAACTGCATTGTCTCTATTTGTACAAGCAAGACATCAATTTCCATTCCCTTCATAAAACTTCTTGGTAAACATTTACATTTTCTTCCCAACAAAAGTACATTAACAAGATCATGCTTATAGAGCTGGTCAGCCCAAGAGACAAATGACAATTTATACTGAACTATAGTTAAGTCTTGCAGCATAATGCTCACAATCCTAAACTGTATGCATTGACTTTTTCAATGGCATTCATTATGTGACGTTGCCACTAATTATATTAGGACTTCACTAAGTTGTAAAAGCCAAAATTACTCAGAAAGTTCTCTATTGTAAATAACACATGGAATATTGCGTTTAAGTTCAAGCTTGCAAAATGACTTACAACTTTTCTACAGTCCTCTGCTTAATACATACAGGAAAATGAAAGTTACATAAGAGAATGAAATAGATCAAGTTCTTATATTTTTACCTAAGGGTCTAATTATGTATTTTAAGTAATGATGATTAATATTTAATGATTAAAAATAAATCAATGTTGAATATTAACTGCACCAAATCTAAAAGAAAATGGCCACATTACATCATACTATGCTATATATGAATAGATTAAAAGTAGCTAATTAGAAGTCTTTCTAAAAATTTAAAGTTTCTGACATCATTTTCCACCATTCCATTAACTCTTCCTTCTCTTCTTCTTTCCTTTCAGAAAATGACTCCAGTTCAAAATCAACCTAAAGAGAAAAATCAAGAAAATACTGTTATCAAACTACACATGTACTTATAAAAACTGAAATAAAAAAACAGCATTTTAAAGTTTATAGCATAAGTTCAATTCAGTCACTTGAATTAAAGCAAACCTTAAAAAAAATCTGTAGTGACAGACAAAAAAAAAAAAAAAGATACTTTCAGAAGAAAAAAAAACAAAAGCTATTATGTTTGAAATGTGCTTTAACAGCTTTGTAAGATTACATAAAGGAGAATTCTATGCCCTAGTATTTTTTAATCCATAAAAGATGTGATATAATTTTTTTTTTCTGTTTTTGACTATACACTGAGTTTCTTAATTGGCACTCTGTCAAATCCTGGAGCCATGTTTTTCACCAATGCCTTCAGTGCCGTTTGGATTTCTTCCTTCAATACCATCAGTTCTTGATCATGTGCTACCTCCTGCAATGGATAAACATTGATGAATACCTTTTGGTACAGTGACTCTGTGTATTCTTTCCATCTTCTTTTGATGTTTCCTGCATCATTCATTATTTTGCCCATGGAATCCTTCAATATTGCAACTTGAGACTTGAATTTTTTCTTCAGTACTTTCAGCTTGAGAAATGCCGAGTGTGTTCTTCCCTTTTGGTTTTCTAACTCCAGGTCTCTGCACTTTTCATTATAACAATTGACTTTGTCTTCTCAAGCTCATCTTTGAAATCTTCTGTTCAGCTCTTTCATCTTGTCATTTCTTCCATTTGTTTTAATTATTTTCTATTCAAGAGCAAGTTCCAGAGTCTCTTCTGACATCCATTTGGGTCTTTTCTTCCTTTCCTGTCTTTTTAATGATTTTTTGCTTTCTTCATGGATGATGTTCTTGATGTTATCCCATAATTCATCTAGTTTTCAGTCATTGGTGTTCAATGCATCAAATCTATTCCTTAGATGGTCTCTATATTCAAGAGGGATATAATCAAGGTCATAATTTGGCTCTTGTGGGCTTCTTTTAATTGTCTTCAGCTTCCACTTGAACTTGCATGTGAGCAATTGATGGTCTGTTCTGCAGTTGATTCCTGGCCTTGCTCTGACTGATGATACTGAACTTCTCCATCATTTCTTTCCACAGATGTAGTCAATTTGATTCCTGCATATTCCTTCTGGAGAGGTCAATGTGTATAGTCATTGTTTATGTTGTTGGGAAAAGGTATTTTCAATGAATATCTTGTTGCTGGTCTTACAAAACTCTATCATGCAAGCTCTGGCATCATTTCTAACACCAAGACCATATTTCCCAACTACTAATTCTTCTTTTTTTTTCTGGCTTTCATGTTGTAATCACCAGTAATTATCAATGCATCTTGATTGTATGATTGATCCATTTCAGACTGCAAAAGTTCATTAAAAACAAAAAAAAATATTTAATGTTTTCATCTTTGGAATTAGTGGTTGGTGAGTAAATTTGAGTAATAGTCATATTAACTGGTCTTCCTTGTTGTTGTTGTTGTTAAGTGCCGTCGAGTC